ACCAACTATTGGGTTTTACTGGTTTTATTCAGTGAAAAACCCTTTCATAACAGGTATCTTATTCCCCTGTCTTTACAGGCCCCAAATGCTTCCTGTTCAGAAAGGAAGAGAACATTCTCTCTGCAGATTCAGCTTCTCCGTTTTGCTGCACCCATTCCATCACAGGGGAAAGCAGGTATCACCTCCTGTCCTGCTCAGGAGTACTGAGTGACTGTGGGAAGTGCTGAGCACCTGAGACACTTCCACAAAACATCATGCTGGGGATGAAGATTAAGCAGCAGAGGGTGGGAGGAGAAATATCTACAATATGCTAAGAAGTTTACAGAAGCACCTACACATAAATGTTCTCAATAAGTCACAGTTATTTTGTTAAAACACAAACTTTCACATTGTACCAAATACTTTGTGTACCAGCTCGCCTATTCTATAAATAGCCAATCTCTATACCACATCTTGAAAGAAAAAAAAAAAAAAAAACCAACAACAACTAATTTTCAGCCTCCCTTTTCACCAATTGTTTGGTAAAAACAATTGGCTTCATAGAAGGCTGCTATTTTGCATCACTACAGATCAACTTATGCATCAGACAAATAAACACAATATATCTTCTTCTCAAGATTATTATATCTGGTTTTATACAGGCATTTAAAAGAAAGCATGAAAACAGATTGCTCTCTTCATAGTTAACTTGAAAAAAAAAAAAACCTCCTGATTTTATTTCTCTCTGCATTCCTTAGAAGTATTTTCTCTCAACAGCTCTTGATTGTAAATTACAAGGTTTAGCAAAAATACAACTGGGGCGGAAAAAACCCACAAAAAACCCCCCAAAAAACAAGAGAAAGGGAGAGAGATGGAAGTTATAAGTCCAACAGAAAAGTTAATTTATTTCATACCCATAGCCATCTTGCAAAAGCTTCAAAAATCAAACAAAGTATCAGACTCATAACTTTTAGTTTTCTCTCAGAGACAGGAGGTTTAAAGGGATATGGAATAACTTGCAGTCAAACATTAGAGGTTTAACCTAGAGAGATGTATTAGGAGTGTAGATTCCCTAAAAGTAAAACAAGCATCCAAAAGTATTTCATAATTCAGAGATCCCATTCACAATATATAAAGGGGACAGCCAAGGCCTTAAAACACCAGAAGTCAGATATGAGAACTCGTCTTCCAATAAATACTGTAATAATGTACATTTACATATTTGGTTATAAAAATATATTAATACAAAGTTTATTTTGGCTCAAGAGCATTGTCCTTGTTTGTGTCTCAATCAGTGACAGCTGAGCTTTAGCTTTGACTTCAGACAGTAGCTACAAACAAGAATTCAGGAATTGGAAAGAAAAAAGGAGATGTGTGGCTCTACTGTTGCGTTTCTATTACTTAAGAAACATGTATTGAGAGGGAAAATAAAAGCCACACCACTATCACTTTTATTTACTATTTTAATTAGCTTCAGATGTCCTGGCCAATACAATGGACTTTTCATATTTGAAAGGTTCCAGGTTACTCCTAGAATTCATTTATATGCCTAAACTGTGACTGGCACAATGATGTATGTAAAGTTACAATTCAAACCTAGTATAGATTCACAGATTTAGAGTCTCTCTCATTACCTTAGTCTGCTTCGTGTTTAATGCAGGCCTAACAAGCTCATCCAGCAGCTTCTATATTAAGCCCTCATATTCCGAGTTGTAAAATGACTTACAATTCGAAAGGAATGAATTAAAATTCAGAATGTGAAACTTCCAGATTCTGGATGCCTCATATTCTTACCACTTATTACATGGAGTCCTTCTCTTGCCTTTCTCCAGAACCCTCAAGCACATTCTAGACACTATTCTACTTAGAAGGGATACTGAAAAAGAACGTGAATTAAACATGTGTTTACAGTTCAGCCATGCCCCCCAAGAATAAAAGTGTCTAATAGCCAATCATTACACAATATGCAAGTCAACAGGAATACTATACATTTCACAACTTTACAACTAGTAGATGTCTTGGACAATTTCTGCACTTGCTGAGAATTCAATCAGCATCTGAATAGAGCCACAGGCATTATTTTTGTACTGTAACACAGATTTCCCAAATGGGATTAGAGCTCCATTATTCTAAGCATTGTGCAATCACAAATATCTTCTTGTTCAAAGAACCTTATGATTAAGATAAAATGACGTGACTGAGTGAAAGATACAGCTGCAAAGAATCAAGACAGAACAAAGGAAACAGGCTCAGGCGAAAACATACACTTATTACAGGTATATTATTAATTCAAGGATTTTTTTTTTTTTTTTAAAAATTATAATTGTCCCAAAGTTAAATATTTTAAACTAAGAATTCAGAAGAAAGTTTATACTGAAATCTAAGAAAACATGCCCAAGTAAACCCAACACACTTAACATTCATCTAGGGATATCAAACGGGAAAATACCTGACAAACATTTAAAATTAAATTGTTTAAACTAGGATCAAACTGAAAGCTCCCATTAATGGTTATTTGGTGCCATCCTCTACAGGCAGGAATAAATTGTATAAGCATGACATAAGAAATGAATAAAAAAAGGAGTATTTGATAAGACAGATCTCGATATGTGTATTGCTCCAGCCCCAGGGGCTGAACTACACAAAATACATTCATTAACTGAAGAAAAAAAAAAATGGTAATTTCATTTCCATAGAGACCAAATGGCTTAATTTAAATGTAGGCTCTATCATTGACCTTCCTGTGTTTATATTCTACAAGTCATATCCATGAAATATTAAGAATAATAAAAAATGAATTCAAACCACATTTCTTTAAAACATACTTTATGCATGTGATTTCCATAAGATTAAGTGTTTAAAAGTTTAAAAATACCAAAAAGCATCTATTTCACTATCTGTAAAATGGGGACAACAACACGTTAGAAGGAATTAGAAGAATTCCTTCTAATTAGAATTAATTAATAAAATTAATTCTAATTAGATTAGAATTAGAAGGACACTGAAGAAACACCAGTAATACAGAATGAATTCAGAATACCATGGAAGGGTTTGGATAGTATGCAATTAAAGAAGCAACCATACACTTGGTAACATAGGAAATGCAAAATAAAACCAAGTAGCTAGCATGCTCCCTTTCCGTTCTTAGCACTAAGGAAAAAATAGTATAAGATGACAGAGTTCACATCATATTATCTTACACAATGATACATTAAATAATTGGGATTCAAATAAAATGTTGTTGTTTATCATGTATACACCTATACTATCATAATTCATCAGTAATGTAGCAATGTCAAAGTCTTGCCTAATACCTGATGCAACCTGATAGGATTTTTTATTTATTTGGGGGTTTTGTTTTGTTTTTAGCAGAACACAGGAAAAAAAACAAACAGAGAAAAGCTCTACAAATTAGTCATGTGATCTGAGACACAAAACCATTTTTTCTGGCTTCTCTGTCATATCACCACTAGGGATTCTGAAAATTGTATTTATTTAGCAATTCTGTTGATGATGTGAGAGTAGCACGCACTCCCTCTGCCATCACTGCAGAGCCAACATTGCTAATAGCTTAGTAAAAGGCTTATTTTGTCACAAAAATATGTGAGCATGACTTTCAATGTGACAAAAAAAACCCCATCCCTATCCCTCCCCACCAACAGATTTGCCAGGTGGCAGTACTTTTCCAAGTGTACTGTTTCAAGGATTCCCAACTCTTTTGATAGCACATGATTTGGCTGGTTTGCAGAGATCCTCCTTTTCCATTAGCATCCACATAAAATTCCTGAGGCAGTTATAAAATTACTAATAAATACTGCTAGTGAAGTATTTAATAGATACTACCTATTAGGACAATTTAGCTACAGGAAATGAAGAAGAAGCCACACCATGTGAAAAATCAGCATACTCTGGAGATAAACAGTGGTAAACGGATCATAGCTGGCAACTGCACGGAGTATTACAGTATTACTGACCTCAAAAATCTGTAGTTGTTTGTACTTAGAGACCTGGCACTGGAGGTCACAAAATAAATCAGAAGATGGAACAAAAACAAACAAAAAAGACTTTCTAATCCATTTACAAAAGTTTCTATGGTCCTAACAACAAATAAAGGAATACCTGACTAAAAAACAAAAAAACAAACAAACCTAAACAGAAAACTCCAGACTTTAGTTATTTTACTATGAAAAGCTTATACCCACTGACTCTTGCCCTTGAAACAATTTGCAGCTCCTTCAGTGGAGTGCTCCAAGAAGCCTTATGATGCAGGTTTGTTTGTCTTGAACAAGGAACTCTGATTTACAGCTTTTTATATTTCTCCTTGAATATCTACTATCCACATCACAGGAACAAAATAAAGTGCACTCTCAGCTGATGACACTCCTTACCGGCTTTCCCACTTGCATATTTCCTTTACACCTTCACTTTCACCTCTTCATTTAAGTGACAAAGATGACCAAATGGAATGATTTTGAGGACACCTCCACTTACTGTCACCAGAGTTAATTTTAAAAGAATGAAATCCATTCCCTTTGCCTTCAAGGATGAAAATGTATGTTGACTTGGAATATATAAGGACAAAAATAACTATGTGTCTGCTAACCCCTAAAAGGTTAACTTTCATATGCATTAGATTTGTTGATACATTTTCTATTTATTGGGGGATTTTATGGATTTTTTTCCCCCCACTTCCCAAACAGGTTTACCAGAGAACTCATTAAAAAAAGGCACATAAAATTCAGGAAAACACATTTATGAAGAATCAGTTTCATTTGTGAAGGACTTACTTTCTATTGAAATAAAAAAGCATCCCATCCAACAAAATATAAACACATTTTTGAACAGCCCATCTATAAAAGCAAATAAGACTAATATAAAGCTACATTTTCCCCCTCTTCATTTCAAAAAGAAATTAATCAAATGTCTTGACCAAAACTTAACCTTTTCCGCTTATTATCCCAGTCTGCCACATCTACAGGAAATAGATCACCAAAACAGATGGAGTGAATAGATATTTTTACCTCCCAGTGGCTGAACACCAGCTGCGGACTGGCCAGGCCACTAGTTCTCTTCCTGATTTCATCAGCAAAACCAAAGCTTTCTGCTACTGGCAGGACTGCCTTAATAATAAACACATCCGTTCCCTCTTTCATCTCCTCTTGTAACACTCTGCCTTCTCTTTTGGACAAGACAGCATACACACGACCTGCAACGACATAATTTTGATGAGCTTACCAATAAATTTATATTCTACGTCATGAAGAGAAAAACATAAATATTTATTTTGGAAACTTCAGCATTAAGTAAAATACATAATTTCTTTGGCTAAAATTCTTCCCTGTAAGTGGCTCAATTAAGGGAACCCAATTAAATTCAAACAAACAACATATTCTGCCAGTACAATGTGCAGAACCATATGAGTAATATTTAATAAATTATTACTACTGTACGGATCTAAATAATGCTTGCACTAGGTACATTTTATACAATCATATGGCTATTTTTTAAAAGACAGTTTGCCAGATTATGTGCCTAACTTGCTTTACTTCTTACAACCAAATATTTGAGAAACATCACTAAGAAATATTACTGTGTATCAGGAATCATATCTTAGCTACAAGTTAGTTTGGATCACCATATCCCTATATGGTACTTGTCCCAGATACTGCAAGTGCTATTCTAATCACAGAAAACTTGTTTATCTGAAATAATACATATTTATTATGTTTAATGTGTTCAATTAGTTTTTAAATTAATTCAGCCTTAAGTTAGTCATGGATAATTTTTATTTTTCTTTCCCAAATTAATATTCAATCCATTGAAATACAGTGCATATATCATGAAAGTAGCTGTGAAAACGCCCATGTTCGACTTTACCGTAGGCACTAGGTTAATTTTTTAAAATGTTTTTGTAAACTTATGGGCTAAGTATTCTACAGACAAAAACTAGCAAATACATTTGTGTTGATCAAGATAATAAAACCACAAGAAAACCTATGCACTAAAAAAAATGTTTTAGGAATGCCTTTGTTTACAAATGTGAATAGTTAGTATTAGATGTAGAAATTAACTTTAAAAGTACCTTGTAGAGAAGAACAAGTTTATATCAATTTCTAAAAGGTTCAAAGATTTTATATTACATTGCACTGAAAAACATGAATGCCTATTGCTACCTTTTAAACAGCTGGGCAAAAATGACTCTTGCTGGAAATAATTAGAAATATACATTACTTCATAATACAGGCCACCTCTTCTGACTTGACAGAACAATATCATTAAATACTATAGCCACATACATTGACCTGTGTATATACTGTAAATCTTTTGTGGGATACCAGAGGAAATGTTGGAGTGGGTTTATTTGCCTTTGTTTTTTAAATACAGAATCTGGTTCTTGTTCAGGAAATTCAGCACAAGCACACAGCTAGTACAGTTAAATCTTCCTGTCCGATGCAGGTAATGAAGCATCAGTCCAGCACCAGTCATTTCAGAGTTTATAGTTCTCCAATAAAATGTGGGTTCTTTCTACCATCACTGATAATTTTATCTGCTTGTGCCCTTACCAGGACCTCCTCTCTCTTCCTCTGACTGAGCTTCACCTTTACTATGCACAATAATCTTCTTATTGCTCATGAAGAAATTGAGGAAATACTTAAGAGTCTATATTTAAAACTTATTCTGAAGATAAGTCACTGAGTTTGCCATGCCTTCATTAACATAACTAAGCAATTTCAGGTCTATGGAAATTTCAGTGAGTCCAGAAAATTCTCAGATATGAAAGGGTCATATCACAGCACAGCTCACAATTCAGTAACTGCTTTAAAATGCAGGCTTAAACATACACATTGCAAAAGAGCATCACATCATGGTCGCTGTACATATACTGCATACGTACCACATAGTATATATTAAAACCATTTCTTAAAACAAGTAAGTTCAAAACCACTTTATGGGTTATTAATGTTAGAATTAAAAATATTTATTTTACTAATTGTTTTAAGTAGGACTTAGAAAACTGCATGCATATTAATGAGATAAGTAAGGTAACATTTATCACAAAGCACTTTAGATGCATGTATTTTATGGCCATAGTTCACTGGAGATTATTCTCTGAAAACATAAAAGCCAGAAGACAATTTATAGCTTACTAAATGGTTTCTAGCTACATGTATTTCAACCAAGCATTCTGGAGTATTATCTCAGTTAATGTTATCACAAAGAAGCTACATAAGGTCTTCAGTTTTACCACTATGGCCATCTGCAGTATACTGAAGAAATACTGGTTCTACCTCTACAATAATTAGTTGAATGGATTTAGCAGCATCAATCACTGAGAAATACTGTAAGATCTTCCTATTCAAAATAGTAAAAACAGTTATTCTGAAAACATGATACCAACGTACAGAGCAAGTCTGTGCATAACAGACTCCTTAAAATATTCAAGTCCTGTTCACGATACTCAGTACGTCAAGTGAAAATGCTGAACATTAAAAAAAAAATAAGCTTCATACTGGAAGGAAATACTGTGGAAGGACAACAGGATCACCACTGACAAGAGCCTAGATGTCACTATGAACTTAGCAAACAGGGAAGGAGGAGCTGCTCTTCTGTTTTGGATTCTGCATGTTTTCACTTACACAACTGAGCCAGAGATAATACTATGAACTGATATGAATTGCCCCTAAAATGCTGTGATTTAAAATTTTGATAACTTTATTTAAAAAAAAAATCAAAAATCAAAACCAAAAGCTACAAGAAGGTCTGGTAAAGTCCCTTCCCAACTAAGTTTCGCTGACATCAGCACAACGAAAAGACAGTCTAGCTTTCAGCCTCCAGAATACAAAAGAGAGAAGGCAAGAAGAGCTCAAAAGGCATCAACAGGCAAATCCTAATAATAATTAAACATGCGATACTAGTTCAGAACATTCTTCAGCTTTTGGAAGTTTACACAGAACTTCCATAAAGCAAGAACGTGTAAAAATGGATTGTTGCAGCAAATCAAGTGTAGAAATGAAATGCTCAAAGTACAACCTACTGGGAATCATGGTGTATGCAGGATCCAAGTCTAAACCCAAGACGCTGGACATGTACAAGCTTGCAACACATTTCCGTGTTCCTCACCCTACTCCTCTCCTCAGCTTCTATTCAGTTTATTTTCACTGTCAGAAGAGTCTGATGGAAAAAGCTTTATATACTGAGACAACGAACATAAAAGAACCAGCTTCCTCAGAAGCTAACATCTTAGAAAGAAGCAAATAATATGAAGATATATTAAACTCAATTGGGTATCAATATATGGAAAACCAACGGAAAGAATTAAAGTTACCGAAGCCAGTTGTTTATCACGTTAACTGCCAAGTCTTAAGGACAGCATACATGTTCTTCACTTCCCCTAATAAGGATGCAATTTATTAGCTTAAACTTCCAAAATAAAAATTAAATCCATTAATTTGTAATGAAGTAAGTGCATGTCCAAGGTTATTACCACCCAACTCACATTCATTAGACTGGACTAATTTGCTTACATCTCCAAGTCCTAAATTACACTCATTAAAAAAAAAAAGGCATTAGAAAACCATGTTTCCATTTGGTTTTATGGTACAACTGATGAGCCAATGCACGTTAATTACATCACTATAAACAATCATGGATAAGGAGTTGGTTGGATGGTTGCACTCAGAGTTGCAGTCAACAGCTTGATGTCCAAGTGAGGCCGGTGACAAGTGGTGTTCCTCAGGGGTCGGTATTGGGATCAGCGCTGTTTAACAACTTTGTTGGCAACATGGGCAGTGGGATTGAGTGCATCCTCAGCAAGTTTGCCAATGACACCAAGCTGTGTGGTGTGGTTGACATGCTGGAGGGAAGGGATGCCATCCAGAGGGACCTTGACAGGCTTGAAAGATGGGCCTGTGCAAACCGCATGAAGTTCAACAAGGCCAAGTGCAAGGTCCTGCATATAGGTTGGGGCCATCCCAAGCACAACTACAGGCTGGGCGGAGAATGGATTGAGAGCAGTTCTGATGTGAAAGGCTGGGGCTGTTGGTGGACGATAGGTTCAACATGAGCTGGCAACGCACACTCACAGCCCAGAGTGTCAACTATGTCCTGGGCTGCATCAAAAGCAGCGTGGCGAGCAGGTTGAGGGAGGGGATTCTTCCTTCTTGCCCTCTACTCTGCTCTCATAAGATCCCACCAGGAGTACTGCACCCAGCTCTGGGGTACAAGAAAGACATGGAGCTGTTGGAGCAAGTCCAGAGGAGGCCAGGAAGATGATCAGAGGGCTGGAGCATCTCTCCTATGAGGACAGGCTGAGAGAGTTGGGGTTGTTCAGCCTGGAGAAGAGAAGGCTCTTGGGAGACTTTATAGCACCCTTCTAGTACCTGAAGGGGCCCACAAGAATGCTGGAGAAGGACTGTTTACAAGGGCATGGAGTGATAGGACAAGGGGTAATGGCTTTAAACTAAATGAGGGTAGATTTAGATTAGATATTAGGAAGAAATTCTTCTCTGTGAGGGTGGTGAGGCACTGGACCGGGTTGCCCAGAGAGGTTGTGGAGGCCCCATCCCTGGAAGTATTTAAGACCAGGTTGGATGGGGCTTTGGGCAATGTGGTCTAGTGGAGGGTGTCCTTCCCATGGTGGGGGGTGGGAGGTGGAACTAGATGATCTTTAAGGTCCCTTCTAACCCAAACCACTTAATGATTCAATGAACTGTGCTTTTTTGGTAGTGGGCATTTTCAGAAACAGCAAATTTATACAGTGGTTTTGTTGCTTGAAAATTAGTATCTTGCTTATAGTTTGATGTAGAGATTCAGAAGCACTGTGCTAATGTGCTCCTGGAGCAGTAATGTGTAAGACTACAAAGTCTAATTTTGATAGGCTTTCTTACATGTTAAAAAATAGTTAAAGATTGTTCAAAAATGCAAAAGTTCTATGTCATAGTAAATGGTAGCTTAAGGTAACGTGCTAATAAGCTTAACACAGGACACCTTGTCAGGCCTACTAAAGAGTACCTCCAGAAAAGAACAGGATCATGCATCTGTACAAAACAATTACTCTTTCAAAGGCATTTCTTTTCACTACATACAATTGTAAGTTTTGCTCTTCAGACCAATTTGTTTTGTATTGCTGCTATCATTACGCTTGTGTGCATAACAGCTGAGATTTTTACAACAAATAACCAAATCTTTAATTACTCTATGTGGGATTATACTATAATTTCTGTCATGAGTAGTACAGTCAAAGTAAATTTGCTGATAGCTTAAATGCAATGGAAATGAGTTTTAAAGAAAATCTTGGTGCATTGGATCAGGTTCAGCATGCAAGCAACTCCTATGGAAAACAAATATTAGGGTAAGTTAAGAGGTGTTATAAGTAGGTCATAGAAACAAGTTTAAGTAAGTGTTAAGTGGAAACGTAATATAAGTGACAAATTTGGTGTGCACTGGGATTGCAAAGCGAGCAACTTGCATACCAGAAGTATGCAGATGCTGCTAAAAAAAAACACCCTACCAACTGGACTGTAACAATAATTCAAGATTCTCTCTTTTTCCAGATTTTGCTTCCATATTGATTATTACATTAACCTAAAGCATGTTGAAATGGCATTAACAGATTCTGCACTGATTTTACAAACAGCATAGGTTTCCTCATCTCTTCGTGGAACTAATGCTTAATTATGAGGCACAATATTGACATTTCGTATCTTGTACTTCCAAAAAAGTGTAGCATTGTTATTTGTGCATGTTTCAGATAAGCAAGAAGAATTTTCAATTTTCATTCACAACAGTCTAAATACTACAGGCAGAGAGTCATTCTACAAATCTACTGGAGAACTATAAAAAACTTCTGAAAGAACTTTTAATCAAGTTATACTTTCTGATTCAGTCTAATTTATAAAATCTCACCTTGGAACTCAGAAAGAAAATTCTTGACAAAGGTTTATTGTGTCTGCCTTACCTAAAACTTCTGCAGTAGCCATAATTTCACATGTGTACATTGCTGCCATAAGCCTCTGTGGTTTTGCTTGCAAAGCGTAACGACAAGCTTCCTTCATGGTGGCAATCAGTTGTCCAGAGAAGGGACCATAACAATCTGCAAGTAAAACTTCTCCTTTGTGTTTACAGTTTTTCTCAGGTGATTTTGGAATGCTTTGACTGCTGTCCTGGTGTTCATTCACACTGCTAACTTCATCAGTGCAACTGCTTGTTAGAGTAGTATCTTGTTTAACTTCTATGGCATCACATTCCCCTGAATCCTGATTACTAGTTGACAGCGTCTCTCCAAATTTATTCATTTCCCATCTTTCTACTGTAAAACAAACACCCATTAGGGGTTCTTCACACATGGGACCTGAAAGTGTAGCCAGCTGAAATCCACTTACTATGCTGTTGTCAAAGTCTCTGTATTTACTTACTTCTTTCATAGCATTCCCAAGGCACTGCCACACAGACCTTCTATAGCCCTCAAAATTATATAACAAAATATTAGGCCCACACTTCCGTGGTCCAAACGACCAGATTTGATCAACAGCATTTCTCCACTTTCTTCCCTGCAGATTTTGTTCCAACTTTTGTTTGAATTCCTTGATCCTATCAAGAGTCTTCTGATTTATCTCATGGGTTTTTTTATCTTCATTCAGAGATGTGTTGAGTTGCTCCATCGTTCGAATTAAGTCACTGTTTTCTTCAAGAAGTCGAGTTACCTCCTCAGGAAGTGGTGTTGCTCTTACGCTGAGAGTAGCTTGCTTATTTGGAGTAGATATTGTAACAAGCCCATCTGAATTAACCTGAATTCCTTCAGGAATTTTATTTTGGTCCTCTTTCATTTGGTGTATGACAGCAACTTTCTGCTGTTTTCCTATTTCTTCATTCACCATATCAACTTTTGGAGGTCTTGTTATTGTCTCTCGGAATGGTATAATAGGTGCTGATACACTAATCTGTACCTTTGCAAACCTGTAAAATAAGGTTTAAAAATTAGTTTAAAATTTAAAAAAATACTTTTAAACTTGGGGTGGGGGAAGGAGGTAGGGCAATGGCCTTAACATGGAACATATATGTTCATGAATCAATCTGATTGCAACACAGATTCCTAGATAATGCACTTGAAACTCAAACTCTTAAAAGCGTTATATACTACAAAAAAGAAACATTGCCTCTTATATCTTCAGAAAGATTTGGAAAGGAACTGAAAAAAATAAAAACATTGCTGTGCCTCCATGTAAATCTCTGGTTCACCCAGATCTTGGCAACTATGTGCTGTTGTTCTCTCTCCTCAAATAAGATACCATAGAACTAGAAGAAAATGAGAATAAGGATGATCAAAGGTATGAAAGGACAAGTAGCTTTCATATGTTTCTAGGATACAACAGAGGTCTACAAAATTGTGAGGGACATGGGGAAGACTGATCAGGATTAACTCATAACCAAATCCCAACAGGCCCTGAACTGAAAATGATTAAGGCCCAGGAAAGCATTATGGTTACTTTGGTTTTACTGTTCCCCAGACATTTGCTCTAGGCCACACTGCTGGAGACATGATACTGAGCAAGATGGGCACCCTTTTTGAACCAGTACACAGCTGTTCTACAGTGAGATGTTCTGAAAAGATTAAGCACTGGGTAAGCTGAACAGGCTCCTGTAAAGGAGTGTGGAGCCACAAGATTCTAAAATTTTGTGGGTTCAGATCAAATACTCTCTCTGCAGCTAGGAGCACTTGGAGAGCCGATACTCCCATTTTCTTCATACTTGTGTTTCAGCAGACTCAAATCTGCGCATGGAACTAGTACTTGCAACACAGAAGCAGAAGGAGGACTAATGTAGGGATAAAAAAAGCCCCTAATGACTTCTATTGTGATTAGCTAGTGGAAGCCTTAACCACTGTTCTCCTTACAAACCTGAAGGATCATCCTGAACTCTGATCTTGTAACAAATGTAAATATACAAAGCACTGTTCTGAAGGTAGAAATCAATGACTGCCTACATTGGAATGCCTTTAAATTGGCTTGAGGAAGGGAACAAATTTCAAGTGAAATAGCTACTCCTGACTATCACCATATGGACACATTCATTATAGAATTATGCCAGATAATTATTTCATGTATAGATCTGTCAGTAGTAGCAGCCTTTTCTCTGCTATAAAGCAAAACACAAGCCCTCTCCCTCATACATCCCACGTAGCTTTATATTGTAGTCACTTCAAAGAAAATTAAGTGATTTTTTTTTTAAATAAAGTTATTTACATGAGTACAGCTTAATACAAAATTAAAACATACACAAACTATGGGAGATAATTAAAATAAATTGACCATTAACTACAGACAAAAATTAAACCATCAATTCTATACCAGAAAACCCTATTATTTCAGATCATTAACCACTTTTCAGTTTGTTAGAAGAGTTTATATTGGAAGATTCTCAAAGATAATAAAACTTCTTAACAGAAGAAAACAAACACATTTTTAATGCTGTGGATTCATCTTATTTTTGGACTAATTAAGAAAAGTTAAATTCAATCTTCACCTTTAAAGGACCACAGAAAGCACAAAGTAAAATGGGGTATGACACAGTAGGTGAAGATTTTGGTCTTTTTCCACACTAAAAGAAAGGAAAAAATCTTACCAATGTAGTTCAGTCTGTTTAACTATAACTAATTTATAGTCTGCTTTGCAAGCATACTAGCAATTTTTAAAGGAATTATTTTGGGTTAAGAGTTGAAAGATACAACCTAAAAAGTTTCTTTTTTATTTTAAGCTAAGTTGGGAAATACCCTACACAGTGAAGAAAACCTGTGTTGGAAATAAAAATACTTAAGCCCAGATGTTATCTACCTTTATTTATACTACATTCCT